CCTGACCCACGCCCCCCAGCCTTCTCGCGATCCGGACCCGGAAATGTTTGGAGAAGTCCACCGACACCTGAAAGCAGGTTGTTGAAGAGGGCGTCGCTGGATTTTTTCCACCTTTGCTTGGGATGGAACATGATGGAACCTGACTCATCTTTTTGTGCATGACTTGAAAACACCAAGCAGCATGGCAGGGGCTTTGGTAGCAAGCCACTGCCAATGGAAGGTGTGGATGGAACTCCTTTGGACCTCCGTAGTTACTGAGACCTTCGCAGCTCTCAAAGCACTGTAAGGAGTGAATTATTCCGTGCCCGAGGTGCAGAAGCGGAGTGGGTTAAAGTTAGAACAACACAATCACTTCCAAGGGTCCAAGGATAAGTTGTTTTTGACCTTCTAGGTTCTTTCAATGAATGTTTTCGTGAGGATGAGGTCAATGGCAAATAGGAAGCTTGCAAGTCTCCTTTAGCTTCATGTTGTTTGTTCGCACATCGAACGTTTCAAGGTCATTTCAGTATTTGATAGTATTTGTATGGTGGTCCCCAAATAGAGAGTGATAGAAACGGTGTCCAATACATGTTTAATGGGAATCGACTTTTCTATCTATTTTGGGGTCGATATACAAGATGAGGAGCATTGAACCTGGACTCTTGGTGAAACGCCTGTGACAAGCCTCACCTGGCTCCAAATCTTGGCTCCCAAATCCCTGTATGCTCCAGATCTCTTAGAAGAGAAAGATGAGAATTAAGTTCCATTGGTATGGTATGGTAGGCCCAGAACAACTGCTGTGAGCAGCAAGTTGCGACTTGAATTCCCACAGGCTTGCCTAAAGGCACTCACCATTGATCCATATTGATCCTATGTAGGAACTCTGCTGAAAGTGTTCCAGTCGACCATGGTCAACCCACTCAATATGCAACACAGCACTGCGGGGATCGCATCCTCACGCACAGTCGTCCACGTGTTGGTGGACGGACCCAAGTCGAGTTCGTCAGATCCCATTCAAAACGTTCTTGAAGATGACCTAGTCGAAGAATTGATCCTGAATCCTGATCAACATATTTCTTGAAGCCCCAGATGTTCATTCGAGTTCATCTGCGTTGAACCCACCCTACTGCCACGCCTTGCTGCGCCGGCCTGCTGCGGGCGGTGGCACTTCCGCCATGGCGGAGCATTACCGCTACCCACGGACCCAGACCCTTGCGAGGCAGTTGGTTGCGAAGGGGATGAGATGGCAAGATCACAGGATCTCATTGGAAGGAAGGGCCGCAGAGCAACTACATGCTACTATATTATATTGTACTGTGTGTGTTGTATGCAGTGGACATGGCTAAGCATTCACTCTAGGGTTTTCTTGTACTATATATAGTACTGATACCGTGTATAAAGAGTAAGAAAAGATGTTGTTTTTATTGGAACCATGGGGACCATCATCCATCATGGATGAGACTGACAGTTGCTTCGCATTGACTCATTCTACATGACACCCCAGGCCAGAGTTCTGCCATTGTTTGAGATGAACTGAGGGCATTGGAAGGTGACAACAGTGAATTCGCCAAAGCATCCAGCGCTTTACTGTTTCCTTTCCCACTTCGCCGCGCTTTTTTGCCCCATCAAACGACGAACAAAGTGTGTCCCTGTGCACCCTTCAATTCACCTCATTCAGCTTCATGTTGGGCTCCGACTGACAAGGACTAATAAGTTGAACATCCAAAAATTATTGTGTCAAACCAATTGCCAACGGCCTTTTCCTTCAGGATGACCACAGCTTGTCCTCCGGTCGCTTTGTGTCAAGAAATAGGCAAAGCAGTCGCAGTCGCTCAGCAAGCTATCCCTCCGCTGCTCTCAGGAAGCTGTTCCTCGATGAGAATTGGCTATACTTTGGTGGAGGTCTCTTCATTTTCTCTCAGGACAGCTTCGGGACCTCGTGGATTTGTTCTTGTTTAACAACCAGCTAGCAAACGATCATCTAAGCCTCCCACCTCGCGGTTTTGTTTGAATTCCCCCTCGGACCGTCTCACTGTAGCTGGCTGAAGCTGGGCGAACGACCACATCAGCTGTAGTAGCATTATTCATGTCGCCAATGGGAGTGTCTTAACAAACAAACAAACAAACAAACACTCAAACAAACAAGCAAGCAAGCAAACAAACAAACAAACAAGGAGAGGATTTATTTGATGTTGCTTTTGTTTGGGAAAAGCGTTTTCAACCTGCAACATGCACTACCTGGGACTGAAATGGCCCACCCCAACTGATAGGTTTGTATTTTAAGAGGGCCCTACCAACCAATGGATTTATACCAGGACCTTCCAACTTCCAACAGGTGGTTTTTGGATACTCTCTAAGACACTCTTAATCTCTAAGAGGCCATTTGTAGACACCTCTGGGAAGGTCCTGGTACTGATTAATCTATCTTTTCTCATTATCCCAGATGTCTTTGAGGGGTCTTCCTAGTCTAAGACACTCCCATATTCCATACATGTCCGGAGTTGCGGTATGAGGCCCAGACCCCCCGCAAACCACCTACCACCCCAACCACCGAACCGAAACGAGGGGGGGGGGCAGGAGACCGTTTTGGAGGGATGGATTGTTCGGGAAGTGGGTTCAATTGATCCTATCCCATCAGTGGTTCAATTGATCCCAAAGTCTTATGAACAACAAGTTGCCCTTGGACCCCTGTCGGAGTCGGAGGCTTGCAGCCTCGTGGCGCGCAGAAGGGGAGCACAGTACAGCCACACGGATTTGGATCGCCAGGTGTTGCTCTATGCCTCTTGGCGCCAGGGGGATGATGTGGGGTTCAAAGAGGTCGCTGTTGGAAAGCACCTCAGATGTTTTCGCAAGTCAACGGGTGTTAAAGGGGTGCATCTTGTTGCGTTGACCCACTTGTTTCATTACAAGATCTTTTTGGTGCTTTTGTTGCAGCACCAGGCTGCCCAAGGTGGTGCCCCTTGGGCCCTTGGCTGGCCAGTTGGGGTATCCCTGGCAGGCGAGGTCTTCAAGGCGACCAAGGACCAAGCAAAGGTATCGAGTACTGAAAGAGCATGGTCCTTTTTTGGGGGTCACTGCACTGAGAATTCCACATCCTTCACAGATTCGTGAACTTGCCCTCTAAATAGCTGAATATGAATGTAGTACACCCAAGCGATTGCTGCGAAGTTGTTTTGAAGTGGGGGCAGCTTGCTGATCGAGTAAGTATGAAGCTCTGAGTACTCCGTTTGAAAGGAGGTTCGATATGTTTGAGGGCCCCAAGGTTTGGGGCCTCAAGGCTTCTATGAGGCCGCCACAACCACAGGACCGCATCGTATCTTTTGAAACAGAATTTGCTGGCAAGTCCTGGTCCTGGCGTCAATGTGGCTGTGGGTCAAAACCACGGTAGGCTGTGACGGGTCAACCAGGTAGTCTATTCTGTGCATGTTCGCTTGGAACAACCTCTTCAGAGTCGGACACCTTCTGCCTCCGGTTCTCAGGCACGGTGGCGCATTCCGGGCACCTTAGCCTTCTGGGGTGCTTTGGCCAGTGCACCTCGGTCCCGTTCCAAGCCATGAGACCTGGGTTTTCAGGACGTGTTGGGTTTCAGCCGTGGTTTCGTTTCACAGGTTCTTGTGCCATGGGTGTTTAATGTTTCTATATATGTGTCTTATTTGGTTTACTTTTTCGGTTTTTTAATGTTTCTTATTTGGTTTTTACTTTTTCCCGACATGGTTCAGGGAGCTTTGATCTTCCTCACACGTGCCTTTTTCCCCCGGTCCCATGGAAGACTTTATATACTACTATTTCGTTCATTGAACCTTTACAAACCGTGGTGTTTTTTCTACAAACCGATGTGAAAACAAGTTGGAGTGTAGAACGTCCCCTCTAAAGATCCCCAGCTCCCAGCCTGGGACAACCGATGTTCTCAGGAGTTAAGCCTAAACAAAAACTCAAACCCAGACACTCCATGGGACTGCCATAGGACTGCCGATCTGGGGTGGTTCCAGGGGTCAATGGGGCGGCAGTCCTATGCCAGTCCCATGGAGTGTCTGGGAAATGGATGTAGCTTAAACGCTGAAAGGGTAGAGGTTCACAGTCCCACTGGTCCCGACCCCTCGACCGATTCGACCCCAAACTCTCCAGATCCCTCCATATGAGGCTTCTGGAGCGGTATGGGGCAAGTGAGCGACGTTTCTCCTTGAGCCACATCCATGCAAAACAGATGGTGAAACGAGTGTTCTTCTCACGGTGGCTTGTGTAGCTCTTGGGCATAAAACACCTGTTATTCATTGCCATGCTAGTTTGCATTGGTGACTGCACTCTAGAGTGCATTTGGCTAGACACTCCTGTGCCAAGACCCCTCGTGTTTCAGTTTGGCACCGAAGCAATGCAAGCAGCTCCGGTGCCAACTTCGGCTGTCATATGTATCTGCAGGTCGGCTGCTACTACATGGGCACGCCCTTCACGCTGAAGGAGCAAGCAGGCCAGTGGTTCATGATCCTCTGGATCCTCCTCGAGCCCCTCCTCGGTACCAAGCAAGCTGCCGTGGGAAGTGAACATGTTCTGTACAGCTGCCGTCAGATAAACCGTAAAACCTTCCCGCCGGGTACGTCACCGCAGCTTTGCAAGGCGAGCTGCTGCTGCCCTTCTGTGAGCGCTTTCCTCAACTAGTGCCGCTGGCGGAGACCCTGAAACCGCCGAAGGTGGAGCAGAAAGAAGAGGTGGAGGTGCGCAAGTTGCTGCTGGGTGGATGTTCCACCGGGTGGAGTAGCAGGAGCTAGTGGTGAGTGTTTGCCTGGATGGTGGGGTGGAGTGGAGTGGAGTGGAGTCGAGTGGAGTGGAGTGGAGAGGGTCTCCCAAAGACTAAGTCTTGAGGAGTTTAGCAACTGGATGACTAGGGAGCTTATCAATTGCTAGGGATCCACATACCCTCTGAGAATGTGATTGGAGACACTGCCATGTTATGTAGGTTTGGGGCGTCCAGTCGTACCTTCTGAGTTTCGGTGTGTTTGGTGGGGAAGTGTGCCATATTGCAAATGTTCGCAAGTCTTTAGAGTCACACGAGTCACGTCGATACGAAAGCTTCACCGAGGCATAGGGAGACCCTTTGATAGGGAGACCCTCTGGCCCAATGTCTTTGTGTCTATTTCCCTGCTTCGTGCCGGGGTCGTTGTTGGGAAGTCTCCCTATTTTAAGACACACCCTGGGAAGGAAGACACACACCAGCCGTGTGCTTCATTCACCGAATCCGCCGTCCGAACCGTTGAAGCACGACGTTTCGTCGAACTCCGTCGCCAGTCGCAGTGCCGAACTCCGTCGTCAGCATGAGTATCGGCCCGTGGTTGTGCAAAGGACAAAATTACCTTTCAGCTGAGGGTCAAGCAAGAAGGACAAAAGAACCTTCTTTATTGCTAGGAGCTATCAGGAGCTTCCAAGTATAAAGGAGTTGATTTTTAATACAAGAAATATAACATAAATTAAATGCCAGCAGTCACAAAGGGGTGCTTAATGGAGGTTTCGGTTTGGGGTGGTCATGATCCACTCACTGGATGGGACTAAACACCACACCACCCAACTCCATGTGACTCCTGGTGATGAACACTTGCTACCACCGATCTCCTTCGCTACGCGACGGTGCTCAGCTGCTCGCCAGGTGCCGGTGGAGTTCCGCTGAGAATGACAGCAGACACCGCCGAAATGACGGGCGGCTGTGGCAGTGGATCAGCACACTACAAGGCTAACCATGTATGATCCCTTCCATTCATAGTTATTGGTATATAACTATCATATATAGATCTCAGGGCAGTGTGAATCCCTAGTGTTCTCATCAAGTGGGAACTGTTGTACCAATCCTGGCTTTGCTTCTGTAGAACTAAGTGGTTGCAGTACCGAACTCCATGCCATTCGGATTTGCCTCGGTGGGCTCTGAAAATGCCGGATTCACCGGCTCGGACCTCGTGGAAAAAAGGGCCGCCTTCACCCGACCGGGGAGGCTGGAACGGGTCGCGCAGCCTCGCGCAGCCTCCCGTCATACCCGTTCGCCTTCGCCTTCCGTTCGGCCCCATTCTTCGTCAAGGCCGAGTAATACAGCTGATGGTTCGGCAATGGTACTTGGAATCATAGGGATTATATATGGGATCATATATGATAATTCCATATAGTAGATTGACCCTGGGACCTGAAACACTGAAGCCACCCAATCTAGGTAAATACACCTGAAGATATGCATGGAGTATCATGGAGTCATGAAGTGTTTGAGTTTAGAGTAGTTCTTAACCCTAAAGGAAGTGAAGGAACAGTGAAGGACCCCAAGGACCCCCACCCGAGACTTCATCCGATCCGAGAACTTCCTGGTGTTTCTCGCGCACCAACCCGCACCAACTGGAGGCTGAGTGAACGAATCCTTGGACTCGGACACCTTCAGCGTCAATCCTTGGCCCTTTCGAGTTCTTAGGATTCCGAGGGATAAGACTTACCAGGGGCCCCCACCATCCATCCAAAGACCCTCATTGTCCCGAGCTCAAAACCAGGGTTTTTGTTTGTAGGTGAAAACCTTCGGTTTTCATGGCTTTGGTTCGGGCCCCTGGTATATATATATATATTAGGAATGTTACGGTACCTATAGATATCCAAATGGTTGGACCTTCCCGGAGCATGGACATCACCAAGCCCATGGATTCAGCCGAACAACGGAACAGACCTGTCCCGGTGACCGGTGCTACCGGCCTAGGACACTCGCCGACCAGCGAGGCGCGAGTCCGTGGATGGAGAGGAACTGCGATCGGTGGCTTATCAGAGGACATTGCACTCCAATGTAGTGAAATATGACTATACATGACTATACAGACTATACCAGGACCCTCCAAGGAATGTGCAATGGACTACCCCACACTACCTATAGGCTTCCATTGGGCACCCCTTGCAGGGTCCTGGTATCAGACAATTATTGTTAACAGTTGTTGTGTAGATAAATCATGATAAAACCAACTGCATGGGATCAAGACAGCCCCACCTTGTGTGTGGGAGCGCCTGGTATGGTTCGCGCAACTGTTGTGACGGGTGGATTTGTTCATCAACTATGGTTCATACCGGGGGTGGGGGGTGGGACTGGCGTAATGAGGTTGATGTCTCAATCATTAACCCTAGGCCTCCAAGTACCTTCTGAGAAGGTGTTTGGGGTGGGTTTGGAGGGTCCAAATACCTTCTGAGGGGGTACTTGGAGGTGTAGGGTGTAGGGGAATGGATGTTCGTTATGTATTTAAGATATGGTCACTGGTCATTTGTGGAAGACTATGGTGTCCATCTCGGGACAGATCGCGGCCAATCAGGAGACTCAGATGCCGAGAGCTATAGTTCCGCAGCCCTCCAAAGGCTGACGCTGCCATCCAATTTGTGGAGCCTGGAAGAATGGCCAATTAGGCGTGGAGCAGCATCAGAACTCCTCCAAGCATTGCTCGTGCCACAAGTTCTGGAACCGGGGGTGGTCGTGGGACGCCGCTCGGAAGAAGGCAGCTGCTGAGTGGAAGAAACGCTATCAGCACTGGCAGCGGCGACCCCCCCGGCCAAGGCTGAGTCTGACAAGCGACGCCCAGGCGAGTTGATAAAACGCGCATGTTTTGGAACACGCAGGGGCTTAAAACACTTAAAGGATCTTAAAGGTATTTTTAAACACGCAGGTGCATCGAACACGCAGTGGTGCTATGTAAACAGAGGCCTGTAGGTAGAATGGTGGGAACCATGGAGTTGTACAAATCCACCACCGGTGGAGCTTTTGCCCTGTGACATTGCGGTCGTGCGCGCAAAGGTCCCTCCAACCTCGCTAGCTCTGCTCTTAAAAGCTTTTGTTTGGTCGCATCCTGACAAGGCCCAGGGGGGCCGGGACCACCCACCGCTTGCGCCAGACTCCAAGCCAAACGTATCTGGGAACAGAAAGGACACTCCAAGGCAAATGCATGTTTGCAGTCCCGAAAACTCATTGATAAGATTTATACAACATTGACGGGCAGGGCCTGGTGTTGATGTCGTACATGAATGCGACCCCACAAGTTGATGTTTGTGGCATGGCAGACGCATGGTTGCGTTTACCAGCATCACGCAATTGAGATACAGATACTGACAGCAAGTAACCACTATACTATATATATTATATAATCACGTGCCAACAAAAAGCACTCAGCAAACCACAGCGCCCAAACGCACCCCAAACGTGGCGAACACGCAGACACTATATAACACGCGGTGTGTGTTTTAAAGAACTGAGCCGCCCAGTGATGAGAGGGGTCCGCCTAGGCGGCGTTAGGATTCCACCGGAGGGGCGAGACCGTCGGCGCGGCAGTGAACCGGGAGACAGATTTCATGGGAGACGCAGTGGTGCCCTCATGTGCTCTCATATGTGTGGTGCCCTTATGTGCTCTCTTATATATGTGCGCTCTCATTCCCCAGTGTGTGTGCGTGTGTGTGCTCTCATGGGTGTGATTTTACACGTCCTTTCATGTGTGCGCTCTCTACATCTTTCGATCTGTACACATCTCTCTCCACCACATCTCTCTCCACCGCTACACCTCTAGAACTCCGGACCTGGACCTGCAATTCTAAACTAAACCTGGTTAGTAGTTAGTCAACCTCTATCACCACCATCTTCACCACCAGCACCACCACCACCACCACCATCATCACCGCGATCACCAGCCCAGCAACCGATCCCATCACCCCCGAGCCCCAAAGCGTTGGTCTTTCGGCGGAGGTGAGCCAGTGGCGTCCAGAGCCAGGCCCAGCGAGTGGGTGATGTTGAACAACCTCCGTATGAGAGGTGTTTCAATCCAAATGGGGCGGGTTCAATCCAATCAAGAGTCCACATAGCTGGGCTCCAGCGACCTCCTTTTTGATTGTTTTTTTGGCTCAGGGGGGGCTTGGGGTGGGGTGTTTCACAGATCTTTGCGCCAACCTTCGACATGGAGGTAGGAATCCAAATGGGATCAAGAAACAAGGCAGCCAAGGAGGTCAGAGACTCCACCTCAAGGTTTGGTCAGAGACTCCAGCCAAGCTGGGTTCCTGGTGTACCGGAACCAAAGGCAGCTGGTTTGGCCAGGTGTCAGGCGTTGGCTGATTCACGTTGAAATCAACATGAAAGATATCCAGATATATCCAGACAACACCTAGGCCTGGAACCCTGGAACCCTTCGAAACACTCAAGAGGTGCAGGTACAAGTTCTTGGATGGGGCATGACTGAACAGTCAAGGTCCATTGAAAGGGCAGGCCAGGTTGCAGGATGAATAAAGTATGCAGTATGTTTACTTGCTGCCCACGTTTCTGAGGGTCTATACACCTGTTCATGAACGTTAGTAGATTGGAAAGACCCCTGGACACCAACCGCCAGTGTCCAGTCGAGGGTTCCTGTTTCTGCAGAGTGGACACCTGGAGTTCACCAGCTCAAGGTCATTGATGGTAGGTCACCGAATGTTCTTTCATGGGCTTAGGCATTGCGCGCATGAAAGAACACAGTTTCTGTGTCCCAGAAGTGAGCACGAATGCCAGCAAGATCGTGCTGGCACCTTATTCTGTTGCCTGATGGAGTCCTTCTTTTTATGTGCGTCACCTGGTTTGTGCTGACCAGTCCACTGGGTTTCTACCGATCTACCGTTCGATCCTGCATGATTCCGAGCTTCTTTTTGAGCACAAGGCGTGCCCCTGCCTCAGTACCCTCCGTTGCTCCAACAGATGTCTTCCGCCCGTTTTTTCCATAAACTGTCAGAGAGACTTCTCTACCAGCAGTCACAGAGCTCGGAGTGCTATCCATGTTTCGGTTTGGGGTGGTCATGATCCACAGTCCCCTGGATGGGACGAGTAAACACCACCACCAACCCTGGCCTCCATGTGACTCCTGGTAGGTCTCTTGGCTTGGGTCCTTCGACGATCGTTTCTTCGGAGTGGCCGGCCATGGCGTGACCGGGTTTGACATGCGCTGACCACAAACGACCCAAAACGACCGAAAACGACGTTTCACGCGTGGCAGGCCTGACGTTTCAGCGGCAGCTGGAGGAGGGCAGAGTGTTTCTTTTTTCCTTGTGTGGGTGGTTGATTGTGGTTGTACTTTTTTTGTTCTGATGTTTTGGCTTGACTTTCACTGTCCCACACAAAGTTGCCTTTTCTCCGGCTGTCGCTGTCGCGTTTTCTCACTGCCCCAGTCGTCGCGGGATCTGGTGGTCGTTGTGTGGCGAGTTGTGGAAGTTGGTGATTAGGCAGGCCGACGGTCTCGTGTTTTGTTGTACTGTTTTTTTTTCACAGCCTGGGAGATTAATGTTTATAGTTTATTTCAACCCCATGTGTGGTTTTCGGATGGTTCATAAATGAGGGTTGATGACATGCACTGGCTTCGCGACCATAGTTAGTTTGCTATTTCGATAGCTGAAAGGCAGGCCTTGCTGAAGGGGCATTATAGTTTCTGCATGTATCAATTCCTCATTGCTTCTCTGAATCTGTATATAGATCCATTTGCTCATGGTCTTCGGTTCACACGATCACCTACATGCCGTTCCGAGCCGTCTCTTCCACGTCTCTTCTGCAGCCGCTCCCCTTTGGACGGACAACGAACGCTACGAACGCTTCGCGCGACGTTTGTCGCCGGCATCGAAGCCTGTGAGTCTCCACTTTTGCGATGCCGGGGAGCTTGGGAAGACCATGTTCGATCATGTTCGATCCTTTTTGGACGTGTGAGATCGCAGAAGTGGGCGGCAAGGTGCCACAGAAGGTGTGTGTGTGTGATTGTGTGCGTGTTTTCTGTTTCTGACTCTATTAAGGTGGTGAAAAAGGTCCTCTTTCAACATGTTTCAACATGATTCATGTGTTTGTTTGATGATTAATATTATATTGGGTCATCATGAAGGGTCCTAAACAATACTCCGTAGATCTATACGGAGTGATGTCGGGAGTATTCTTTATTGATGGAGGAGATCCAACTAACCCTCGTACTCTTTTTGATCACGTTAAGTAGTGCTTGATACAGGAGCCTTGCAAATAGCTGGTGGTGACTTAGCTTGCACATAGCTTCAATGACAACTATAGCCTCATGCTCGTGATCGATCGATAAGACTATCACTATCTCACGGGGAACTGTTTGTTTTTGCCTACCTCAATGGTCCTAATGGTCGTGGGCCACACTCAGACAGTGACATTGACTCTGGTTTGCGGCGGGAACACAGCTTAGACATGACTTGAACCTTTATTGACTACCGTACTATAATTCCCCCCAGAAGCATCCAGATGTGTTCACATGTATTTTCTGCACAGACTGCAACATTCCATGCAGCCCAACAGGCAGCCCATTCTTCTTCGCATCCTGTGTGACAGACATGACCGGACCCGTCTGAGACGCACGACGACTCAGGTTCAAAAACACCTACCAGTCGGGCTTCCTTTCCATCCTTTACTCCATCGGCAGTAAGCCTTTGCAGATCTGGGACAAGAAGGTCCGTCGCAGGGGGCAACCGTGCAAGGGGTGCATGCGTTGGGATGTGTTATCCGTAGAACATGTTGAAGCCTAAAGGCAACCCGTTGATGCCCATTGTATATGCAGTAGTGGTCACCCTGCACTTTCCGCTAGTAGAGTCATCACATATAAGTATTGTTGCATTGAACTCATGGTTACATTAAAGACCCAATGAAATAGTTTTTTTGTTTTTTTTGTGACACTTTAGACCCCATAGACCCCGTTTTTACATTTAAGGACCCTATAGACTCATGATGTCCAGCATTCTTTCCTCGCACAGGTGCGGAATGGCCACATCAAGCGCCTAACGGATTCGGATATCCAGTCCAGCGTGTTGGACCCTTGGCGTGGTGCGTCGAGGGCAAGATGAGGTGATCTGATAGAGAGATCGATCATGTTTCACATGGCGAAAAAAAAATTAACAAAAAACAATCAATAGTCTTTTGTCGGGATGGAATGTTCATCAAAAACCTTCAAGGCCAAGATCATGTTGCTTTAGAAAGCTTGAGAGATGTATATAACATGTAATAACCATCCTGAGTCGTTGCTAGCTGCTTTGGGGTCTCACGTTCGGCAAAAACATCCCGTTGGGTGATGCTTGTCCAGGCGGCAGAAGCTGTTTGAACCATCTCTAAGAACCTTCGAGTCGCTCGCGAGGGCTCACACTCAAGCTCATGTTTGACCTGTCACAAGAAATCCAGGACCTCAGATAGAAAGTCTTCCACTATATTGGTACAGTACTGTTTCTTTGAGGGGCTTCAGTCGGTGCAGGACTTCTTCTATGGACTATCTGAAAGATTGAACGTGCCCAGCAGCACGGTTCACGGTCCTCCACACCTCCCGCGGTTCCCGTTGGTCTCGTCTTACGCACTCGCAGTTTCCGCACGCAGCGGTTCATGTTGGTCAGGAAAATCCTAGGAGTGCCCCAAGATTGAGAGCTGTTTCCCACTCATTTCACAGATATTCCTCAAAAAATTGTGCGTGTCAATGTGGGTCAGCTCTTTTTTTGGTCGACACCGTTGATCAAAGAGGTCGCCTAGAGCCGAAGATCTTAGCATTTGCATTTGCTATCATTTTGTTGGGTGTCATTCAATTGGATGACACATACTAGGTCCAATGCAAACAGCATTTGATCAGCTGATTATGACAAGCAAACGGATTCAATCTTAGATCAACATGTTGTTAATGCTTGTATTTTTTCAATTTGATCTTCGCATCCTAGATCCACAGAACATGCTGTGATTTGCGGATTATGCTGCACCCATCATGCCTATCTCCAATTGCCAGTGCGATCAAAACAAGCAACATCCACAGTGCAACATCCAGAGTTCGGTGGTGTTGTGTTTCAACCAATTTTACTCATCAGTTTCTCTTATCAGTTTCTTGGGATGAACCCAAGAGGAGGCAATCCTAAGATGTGTATGGCATGCAACATAGAGACTATGCTGAAATGCTAAACTCGAGTTCAGACTTTCACAGGTCTTTCAGTCTTTCGCAGTCAAACTGAGGTGACTCAGAAGGGTGTTACTCTACTTGTAATTACACTCGAAATCATCTTGGACATGGAATATGATCCCTTTGGGCCCTGACTGGATGACCATTTTCCTAATACCATATACTGTAGTCAAGGAGGGTGCAAGAAGTTGACTGGATCTTTGATGATAGCTCCTTTGCTGCGTATGCATGCTGATGCTTTGCTCCCCTCTTCCCACAGCAAAAATATCCAATCTTGACAGCAACGAAGTTCCTTTGTTATTGCTTAACCCTAGGGCTCCAACATTATCCTCAGAAGATGGTTAGACCCCCCAAACCCACCCCAACCACCTTCTCAGGAGGTGGTTGGAGCCCTAGGGTAATGTGATTCTTGATTTACCCTATGGGTCAACCCCCTTCTGGTGAAGGCTCTAGGATCTCACGGCTTCGACAACAAATCCAAGAGTTTGAGGTTTTTGCCGCTCCTGAGGAGATCATGGGCACCAACGTGAGCACCACCTACATCACGTGCCCAGCAGATTCCGCGAAGACCTTGGGCATCAAGCTACCCTTCTTGGCACCCTGGGCGGCATCACGTATACTCATCCTGTGACCCTGATGAGGATCCTCCAAGGGCCAAGGGGGAAAGTCAGCAAAGTCAGCACTCCAGTTCCACCAAACCGAAAGAGGAGATGAGTTGAAGAGTTGGAGCGGCACTGGGACGAACTGGCACTGACACTGGGACGAACATTTATATAACTTGAACAACCATTTGCTGTTCTATGTATCTGTCAGTCAACCGCCCATGGTTTTTGTTATTTGCTTTGCCAATTTTGGAAGGTTCCACTATTTTGTCGAATCTTGTCACCAGATTTCATATGGCTGGCAGTGGAGTGTCCAGTTCTATATTTGGCGATCACGTTCGTGGACACCACCAAGATAGTTAACAACGAGCTCGTTGGTCGTGATCTGTGATACCAACCCTGGACATACATACGCGCTTCCAATGAGTGTCCAATGGAGACATTTAAGACTATAGGGTTGTCTATTGGTGATGTCTTGTACTCTTTGGAAGACTATAGTACTTAAAGGTTTCCTTCTTTTGGTCGTCCGCTTGGTGACCTAAGAGTCAACTACTAAAAAAAACTCTTTGGAAACTTGGTGGTGTCCAAGTGTCCTTCGATTGCTTCGCTACATGGTGGTCTGGTCGGGCTCCAGGTTTGGACCCATGCTAAAAGAACTTAAAGCTCTTCCAAAATGATTCCCTATTTTGGATCTCACATTGTGCGATTTTTGATTTGCAAGTCCTTGAGTGGATTGGAACGGGTTTTAGCTCTTCCAGGCACTTCTTTGGGCTGCTTTGGGGCCCAGTAAAGGGAAACCATCGGTCTCCAAGGGCTGGGGCGGCTTTTGGTGCTCATGCTGACCGCGCTGAATGAGCTAGCAGCTAGATGGGTCATGCTTTTCCCACGTTGACATTCAGGAACCGGACGCAAAGAGATTATTGATTATTCACATGCGGATGCATTCCAGCCCGGACCCCACCGGCCACGGCAGTGGTTGGCGCCAGCTGAACCCGTTTTGTGATCTTTGGGATTGAAAAGCAGCCTATCGCCTATCCGCTGGCCGTGGGCAGCATGTCATGATGTTTGGGTTTCTCTCTTCCGCCCTAGTCACCATCGGCTTGAGGTAATGATCATCAAGAACTTGAAGAAGTACTTCACCTTCGAGGTGAGGAAGGGAGCAGGCTGAGACTCGAATGTCAGGATGATGGGAGTTGATTCTCGACCTGCATGGCGGTGGACTGTCTTAGGGGAGCTGCCAGGTGAACAGTCCATTCAAATCAGGACAAAACAATCACACAGGCTTCCAAATCGATGGACCGAGACCTCCAAATCAATGGACCTATCAATTTGACGAGCTCGGTTTCTCACAAGCTTTGTTACACGGTCACCTGCCGAGCCTCATGTATATAGACACTGAAGTCCCTCCTAAGATCCTCTTAACTCTATCAACACAAATGGCAGCTCCATTTGCCATGCCAAAAGTGAAACGAAAGACAATTCCTCCACATGGTCGT